TCCCCCACCCCTCCCTCCTTTTTAACCCACCTGTTCAGGAACTCCACGAGGACGAAGGGCGAAGTGTCGGCTGTGGTGGTGACCCCCACGTAGAGCCCCCCGTGCCTCACGTGGACGAAGTGCCGTCCCTCCCGTGCCTGCAGGGCGATCCCAAGTCCAGCGGTGCCCATATGGGGTGACCCCAGAGATGCCCCCCCACCCCCCATTCCGTGGGGTCCCCCCCCACGTGACCCTCACCATGAAGACGGGCGCTCGGTCCCCGGGCAGGGAGGTGACAGCGCGGTAAAAAGCGTCCGTGACGTCATCGCCGCCGTCCCCGCGGACTGGTTTTTGGGGAGGGGGTCAAGGAGCGAGAACGGAAGAGCAGGTGGGGGGTCGTTGGGGGGGGTAGGGAACGTTTCGTAGGATACAGTTCCTGTACACCAGGCGGTCGCCCTTGGAGGACAGGATGAAGAGCTGGGAGATCATGGCGGGAGAGAATTTGCTGAAAATACGCTTTTTTCACCCCAATTCCCGACCCCACATTTCTCCCGGTGCGGTCCCTTTAACAAATCCGGAGTCTTCGCCGGAAGCGTCGGCGGTCACGTGACGGCAGCTTCCGGAAGAGCTGCTATTGGGCGAGGGGAAGAGGGATGGGGCTAGGGGCCCGCCGCGCGCCGCCATTGGTTGGAGAGCTCACGGGGAGGGTAGAGAGGCGCGGCCTGCGCGGTATTGGTCGGTGAGGGTCACGTGGCGAGGGGATTTCGCGCCAGTTTTGTGGAGTGGCGGGAAACGCGGCGGCGGCGGGCGGCGGCGGCGGCGGCGGCGGGAAACGGACGGGACCGGAAGAGGAAATCGGGACCGAGCGGAGCGGCGCTTCAGCGGCAGCGAGAGAATGGCGCCACGTGACTACGAGGCGGAGAAAGGTGGGGGGAACGGCGGGGAGGTGGGGGGGAAATAACGGGGAGATGGGGGGGAACGGAGCTGGGGGGGAAATGCGGCGCGATGGTCGCCTCTCCCCCATCCAGAGAAGGCGAAGCGCTTCCTGCTGGAATTCTGCCGCCCCGGGGCCAACGGCAAGCAGTTCCCGTACCGCGAGCAGCTGGTGGGGACCCGCACAGCCCCCCTAAACCCCCTGCGTTCCCCCCCCAGTGTCCCTCCCCAGTCTGCCCCCCCACATCTCCCCCAATTACCCCCACGCCCCCCCAATCT